AAGAAAATCTTGTAGGTCAAAGCGGTTCAGCTGACAAAAATGTTTGGAAATCCCAGGATTACCGTGTCCCAGCTGTTGTTGGTCCGATGAGCATCCAGATGCCTCTGCCTGTGGGTCTCTGTGCTGTGCTCGTCAGCATCATGGTCATCATGGTCATGTTCCTCTCCACCCAGGTTTAAAGCCTTTAGAAGCCCCTCAAAATCTGAGGAGAATAATATTATCAAAAACCAAACATGATCACAACAGTTCCATAGATTATACCATGTATTATACTGATGCAGAACTATTGTAGGACTATCATACCATGAAGCGTGAGATTATCAGAGCCGTAATGGCTGAAGATGTAATCCAGGAAGTACTGCTGCTCAGGAAGGTGGTGTGTTTTCATGCAGTCTCCACGCAGAGCGTGATAGAGGACGTTTCCCATCACGGCGTCCAGCTCTGTGTGCGTGTGATCACCGTGCTGATAGCTGCTCTCTTCCAGGATGTCCTTCAGAGTGAGACAGGGCTAAAAACAGACAAACACAAGACAGATGTGGCCATCAGCGTCAAATGTCTATCATTTGTCAGTTTGCATTGCGTCTTGAGAGGCTTGCTGTCATTCTTAATGACAAAAGTCAAGTAGCAATTAGCCTTTGCATGCTTTGCTTTACAGATAACCGTGAGCATTCACTAAACAACATAGACATAACTAACCCTCCTGTTGTGTTCAAAAACTGGGTACAACTTTTGTATTTAAGGTCAAATTGACCCACGTTGGTTTAGTATGCAATTTGCCTAGAATTTTTTTTAAGTATTAAACTTCATATGTTCTCATGTATTTCATGTCTTAGTCTTTGATAAGCTACAAAAAAAGGTTTTCTGTTTCTGTTTTTTAGTGTTTTTCAAAGTGTTGATATCATTGATATCGTTATTAAAGGGAAACCTTTTCATTACTTGAAATAAAATAAAATAATAATAAAAAAATAGTTCAATCATGACAACTCTCGGAACATTTTAGCATGGTGACGGATATGACAATGTTAATGTATTTGGTGTTGGCGGAATAGATCTGCTACGCTGCTGCTGTTGGTTATTGCGGTAGTTGTAGATTGCCGTGAGTATTTAAGACATGCTGCTGCGGCACAAATAACATATAAAATAACCCCGTAGCAGATCTATACAGGTGGAGCCGGGGAGCTGGAGGGTTTCAGAGTAACTCTGAAAGCGCGCTGCAGGAATCTCTAGTGAATGCTAGCCAGCCATATAAATGTAAGCTCATTGGCTGCATATGCAGCATGAACCAATCAGCTTGTGCCAAATCATTTAACTATCTGAATATCATCAGTTACGTTAGCACCCCGTCAGAATGCGCCATCTAGAGTTTCATGACTGAACTATATATTTATTTGCCAAAAAGGCAACATTTCAAATTTTCATTTACTTCACGTTGAAGTAATAAAATACCTAAAACTGAAATAAAAAGTAATAATATAAACTAATAAAAATGACCTAAACACACAACAAAATGACTAAACATTACATAGTTTTATGTTTAAAATTATCTGCAAAAAATTTACAGTTTTTTTTTGTATACTGTTAAACTCAACTAGATGATAAAATAGTGAATTTCCCTTGGATGATTCAGAAAACGAGTCTCAGTTTCGAGTAAACTTTGAGTCTTAAATTACATAAGTTCTCATGTATTTCATATTTTAGTCTTTGACAAGCTACAAAAAAAGGTTTTCAATTTTTTAGTGTCTTCAGTGTTTTTCAAAGTGTTGATATCATTGCTAAAATTCATTACTTGAAATAAAATAAAATAATAATAAAAAAATAGTTATTTGCCAAAAAAGGCAACATTTCAAATTTTCATTTACTTCAAGTTGAAGTAATAAAATCACTAAAACTGAAATAAAAAGTAATAATATATAAACTAATAAAAATGACTAAACATTACATATTTTTATGTTCAAAATTAGCTGCAAAACATTTACAGATTTTTTTGTACTGTTAAACTCAACTAGATGATGAAACAAATATATATAAAGTAATAAGATAATGAATATAAAAAAAGAATGAAATAAAAAGTAATAATATATAAACTAATAAAAATGACCTAAACACACAGCAAAATGACTAAATATTACATATTTTATGTTCAAAATTATCTGCAAAAGTTACAGATTTTTTTTTGTATACTGTTGAACTCAACTAGAGGATGAAACAGTGAATTTCCCTTGGATGATTCAGAAAAAGAGTCTCAGTTTCGAGTAAACTGAGTCTTAAATTACAGAAGTTCTCATGTATTTCATATTTTAGTCTTTGACAAGCTACAAAAAAAGGTTTTCAGTTTTTTAGTGTCTTTAGTGTTCTTTCAAAGTGTTGATATCATTAAAGCTAAAGCATTAAAAAATGTGTTACTTTAAAATAAAAAAAGAAAAGAAAATATAAAAGCTACAATAAAGGTTTTCTGTTTTTAGTGTCTTTCAAAAATGTTGATATAATCAACTAAAACTAAAACAATTTTTTAAAATCTGTTACTTGAAATAAAAGAAAAAAAAGAATCAAAAATCTAAACAAACCAGTCAGTTGCCAATAAAGTCAACATTTCTAATTTTCATTTAGTTTAAGAACTAAAATAGCTAAAACTATATATAGATATATTTAAATACATTACATATTTTTATGTTTCAAATTAGCTGCACAGACACAAAACTGACAGATCTTCAGGGTTTCAAAACTGAAACAGTGAATTTTCCTTGGATGATTCAGAAGACGAGTCTCGGTCTTTGAGTCTCACATTTCATATTGGTTCTTATGTATTTCACATTTCAGTCTTTGACAAGCTACAATAAAGGTTTTCTTTTTTTTGTGTCTTTAGTGTTTTTCAAAGTGTTGAATCTTGTGTTGAAACTTCACATACACATTCGTGACCTTAAATGAGGAAAAAAAGTAATCAAATTTCAAGAAGAAATAAATAGTTGAACAGCATTTCAAGCAGTTTGTAAATCAGGTGTGGGTCTAATTAACCCCAACACAAGGAGAAGGATAACAAAATAAAATTTCATCCTGAAAACTAGTTATTGGTGCTGACCTCATGTGTGTCAGGCTGATAGTATTTCTCCATCTCGAGAAACATCTTCTCCAAACCCTCAAATTCACTGATGTCTCCATGAGGAGGAGGATCGGTGGTGCTGTTGTGGTCGTGGTCATAGATCGTTTCGATGAAGTGATGGGTCTCTTCGCCCCAGCGGCCCTCCTGTATGGCCCCGCAGGTCTCCAGCGGAGCGCTGAGGAACAAACAGCACGCAGGAGCCACGGTGAAGAAATCCTCCATCTGAAGCCCCTGAGAGCTGCTGTAGTTACTCAACAGCTGCGAGAGATGATCCACTGAAAGACACTACATGCAGAAGAGAGAAAGGCAGAGCGGTCAGTGGTGAAATAATGACGGAATCTTAGATGAAAGACTATTGTTTTTAAAGCAACTGTTTTCTATTTACATCAAGAAAATACAGACAAAACCATCATTTTTTCATGTACTGGTCAATGTCAGGCTATTTTGCTTCAATAACATGTCTTTTTTTCAGACTAGTGAAAAGAAAATATCCAAAATACACAATTAAGTGTTTATTACAGTTTATCCATTTGCATCTGTACACTGTAAAAAAAATTCCGTAAAATTTACGGTAAAAAACCGGTAGCTGTGGTTGCCGGAATTTTACCGTAAAAAATACGGTAGCAACATTTTAGGTTTTAATGTTAATATACCAACCTATTGAAGTACTGAAATCTGTTTTGTAACTTTGTAATACACTGATAACCACGAAATGCAGGTGGTGATGAGAAAGTCACATGATGAACCAAAGCCCATCACAAGCAGCTTTTAAATAATAACATATACAGAAGGTGCACAGTGTCATTCACACAAACACCAAACACCATCATGGTAACACACATGAAACTAAAATAATGCAATAAACATTAATTTAACAACATTAGGTGCAACACACAACCCTAATATACAAAACTGATAAGAAAAAACTAAGAAGAAACAGTTATTTCAGCAAAAAAAACATCAAATTTGAAATGTAATGCAGGGAATTCTGGGAATGTCAATTTACGGTCATTCACTGTAATTTATACGGTCTTTTTCACTTCCAAAAACGGTATACTACCGTAAAATTACATGTAATGTCCAATACAGTTTTTCACCACATATAGTAGGGGAATTTATCGTTAACCATTTAACAGGTTTTTATTGTAGTATTTTTACAGTCTTTTACCGTTAAATTCATGGTCATTTTTTACAGTGTATTACAATACATATTTTTAAAGGCCGTAAGTTTTCACTTATTTTCCAGAAATCTCCACTTCAGTAGCACTTAAAATGTAAAAAAATACATATATTTTTCAGAGTAAAAAAAAAAGGAATATTTCATAAGAAACTTTTAAAATCTATATTCTATCTATATTCCAGCTGTTGATAGTATGATTTATAGATAGATTTATTGAGAATCTGAGATTAAGTCATAATTTTTTATGTATTTTACAAAAATATTCCATTTAATCTTTTTGTGAAAATTTGGTGCTACTAACAAACCTCAAAACTTTACTTACATAAAGTTATAATACAAAAGTTAATAGTTACCCAACTGAAAACTGAAAAATACTTTTTATGGATTAACATGAATCTCTAATCTACATAAAAAGAATCAATCTTCAAAGTAATACAAGGTTCAATGTACAAAAAGTGCCATGCTAAACTTGACCACAGGTCCTGCCAAAATCTCCTCTACCACAGTAAAACTGTAATTAAACTCTTAAACTTGGTTAAACTCGGGTCAAGAGAAGAAAAAGCTTTCCATAAATGTCAAGCTGAAGAAAGTTGTCATGTTTTATTAAAGCATTTTTTTTGTTCTTGTTTTATGAATAGTTTTGCATTTCATAATTGTTTATCATTTTAAGATATTAAATGACACAGCTAATAAGGAACGTTCTCATAACGTTCTGGTAAGGTTCTCTCATAGCTTTGAACAAACATTCTTCCAGTAACGTTAATAGAACGTTCGTTCAACGTTACAGGTCTTTAAAAATGTTCTAAAAACTTGTACTTTTTTTCTGAAGCATTTTAACTTGACCTTTATCTAACGTTTTTAAATGTTACTACTTGTTTTAGAACATTCTGAGAACATTCACAAGTAACTTTCCATAATGTTTGTAATATGATGAAATAAAATGTTCTAAAAACATTTAAATGGAATGTTACCTTAACGTTTGTATAACCAACAACAACAACAAAAACACGTGTTTAAAACATGTTAAAACGTTTTACTTATTTTTTTTTAAATTACGGACGTTTTGAACGGTTAGAGAGCATTCGAAAATAATGTTTTCATAATCTAGTGGTGAAAGAAACATTCCTAGAACTTAATTTTGATATCTGTGAACTCTCTCATACATTTTAAATACAGATAAATGCCACAGGTCCGCGTTGTGACAACATGCCCCAATACCTGCTAAATGCTGAATGGACAATCTTTTATACTGGAAAAAATAATTTGTCACACCACAGGACTACTTAAAATGAAGGTCAAAAGGAGATTAAAGGTGATTAAAATTATGCAAAGACATCGTGACCGGTTACAAAACGCATCGTTTCAACAATTAATCTGTTCAGCACAAGTAACGAAGTTCATGAACGTGTTGCATGTCAACTGCGTATATAAAAGAGGCACTTTGACGGCACCGATTTTTTATTTCTCTTCTTAGGCGTGATTTATTCTCTCCAACCGTCCTTAACTTATATTTTTAGCCTACATAAGACAGTTTACTTGTATATCATTATGATTTAAGCCACAAATCATTTCTTCAGTCAGATTCTCTCAGTTGTAGCGCACGAGCCTTCGCTGGACCTCGACCTCTCCAAAAGCCCGCAAATATATCCTACCTTTCCACACGACACACCGGAGCACTGCACACGGTTCTCAAGCCGTTCAAGCACCGAGAGAAGCGCATCTTCTGTGAGGAACTCTTCACCTGGAGCCACCAAATCCACAACTCTCGCGTAAATGTCCTTCTTGTCGCCACGCGCGCCGATAAACGCGCACAGGCAGACGAAACACAGAACTAGAACACCTCTAGCCTCCATAACCGGTGTGTTTTATCCCGTTTTTCGGTACTCAGAGGGGTTTTCAGGTGAGATAGGTCCGACAGACTGCATGCAGACACACGGCAGCTTTAGAGAGCCTCACACGGGTGATACCTGCTCAGGTAGAAGCTCTTCTTGCCCTCTGATTGGTCACTTCTCCACCTGCACTCAAATACGTCTCATAAAGGAGGGAAGCCTCTTCCGTTCACCTGCACTGAGGGGTTCGGACAGGGGCTGCCAGCTCTGGAGATCACATTTCAGGACTTTTCAACACTTGCCCTCTAGAAATAATGTCAAACATGTGACATTTAACACACAAAAAATGACAAAAAAGAGCTGCAGCCTATTGAAATGCTGCACACCAATACATCTTCTCTCAGAATGGGCCTAATTTCAGGTCTGAGTGAAGCGTTCACTGAATGGAGGAACTCAAATAGGCACGATTGAGACACAATTCAACTACTGGTATTAAATATTACATTTTGGCTTTCAGAAAAAGTTTGCATACATATAAGGCTGGATGGTTTTTCTAACACAGAGCTGTTTGTACATCAAGATAAAAGTCAAGACCAAAAAAAGGATTCGTTTTAAATGATTAGTGGGGTTACCATATTTGTTGTGGTAATTTTACACAGTACAGATTCCTATTGTGACAACTTGCCCCAGACAGTGACAATATGCCCTCCACAGATGAATTGTACTGTATGCACTTTACTGGGCAACAATTCTGGTAATATCCAGAAAATCTTTAAAGTATTTAAGGTTTGTTTCTACACAGAAATTGACTTTAAAATCTGTCTGGATAAGCAGCATTTGAAGTCATAAAAAGCTGATAAATACGAACCTGTGACCTCACATTCTATATTAATGCAACAAGTTATGTTTCTGGGCAACAGTAAACAAACACAATTATGATGAACTGTAATACTGAGAAAAATATTTATTCTGATTATTGTTATTTATAGCTATTGCATCAGTTTTATAAAAAAACAAGCACATTACTGTGGTTTTAAGAAGGTATAAAGTACAACAGTAATATTATAGATTTAACCGCACTGACACTATTAAATGAGAAAAAAATTCGAATTGAATTCTAACTTTGTAACATCAACACTGTTACTGAATTGAATCAACATTAAACTGAACTGAGCTGAATTTGAAATCTGTAGGGCTGATTTACAGCTGAATTTTTTATATGATACATTTTACAAAATGAACACTGATATTTTCCTTGTTAGCTGTGAAGCTGCTTTGAAACAATCTGTATTGTACAAAGCACTGTAGAAATAAATGCGACTTGGCTTAAACATGGTAAAATCACTGTAATGCACAGACCCTTGTGCTTTATTGCATTATTTGTTGCAACTAAACTTTTTTCCTGTACACTCTCAGAAAAAAAAAATGTACAAAAGGGGCAATACCTTTTTAAAAAGTATATCTTTGTACGTTATTTGCCCCTAAATGTGCATAATAGTACCTAAAGTGTACATTTTAGTACCTTTTAAAAGGTTACCAACCCAGAACTGAATTCAACTTGCGTAATTAAACATGCAACATAATGACACACAATATACTGCTTAAACCATTTATTTTACGATTTACATATAAATATTTTAAGAGTACTATAAGGATACAGTATATATGGTTATTGCACAATATGCCATAAGCTGTACACAAGTAATCCATAGCAAAACGTCTGTTTCTTTTGTGAAGTTTGCCATTTTATTCTGATCTGGGTTCAGATCCACCTGCCCAAAAACCTGATCTTAGCCTTCATGGGAATAACCATCAAAAGAAAATCTCAGATCTACATGACAGTCTCAATCAGAGCAGCTTTCAGAGTTTGAGGTGTTAGGACGAGTGAGGATGAGGCCTGTTTATGCAGCAAACATGGAGTGTTTGAAGATCTGAGCGGGGCGGATATGTCGACAGGAAGTGAAAAGTCAACAGCCAATCAAAAGGGATGTCGTTTGCACATCACTGAATGGAATGAGGTCAGTTAAGCAGCTGAGAGCTTTATGACATTTACCTCATAAAGGTGAGGAAGAGGAGGATGAGCTGAGCTTTGATCTCAACAAAGTGAGTGACTCAAAAAAACACCATGTTCTTCATGCCAGACCTTGCTCTTTGAGGAGACTTAATGGAGTTATTTTAGTATCAGCGTTGTCTCTGTTGTTCTAAAATTCTAAGAACATCAGAGAATTCTTCTAAAATTCTAAAATGTTGTAATATTCAGAAATATATCTGTCATGCAGTAAGAGTATCACTCTAAAAATGATTTTTTGTAGTTGCAAAAAACAGATTACTGGAATTAATTTTTCAAGAAAATACTGAAACCTTCTACTTAAAAATTTCATGTTTTATTCTCTGTTACTTGCAGTTTCTTTGTAATAATTAGTGAATTTTACTAGCAATGAAAATCATTTCAAAGTAAACCCTACACCATTTTTCCCCCCAGTGTAGATGTATAAAATTCATCAAATTAATTCGGCGTTGGGAGAACTTGATGAGAAATATTTGAGTTCATATTGAGATTTCTAATACTGTTAAAATCTCATGTAAAACTCCAGAAGAGACACATGTGAGTCTAGGAGAAACAAGAGAGCTATTAAAGAGATCTCATTTGTGATTTGTGTGTCACACCTGTGTGATGTACCTGTTTGTGCTTCAGGATCTTCAGGTGGGCTGTGTGAAGCTTTATGGTCTAGTCTTATTTACCCTGAAAAGAAAAAATGCACTAGCATCTTACGATCTTAATCTTCATGTGAAGCTCAGAAAATACTAGAGGAGTGTCTTTAACAATTAATATCACAACTGTCATACAATCATGTTTGATTTGACAGATTTGGCCAGAGGAGGGCGACCTTGTCCCTTCTAATGCAGGAACTAAACAGCTGAAGTTCATCTGTGAGGGATCTGCAAAGACAATTTTGGAGACTGTAAAGAGAATTTAGTATGAGTAGATAACACATTTTACTTTTTGCTCACAGCTAGTTTATCCTTTCTGAACAGCAGGGGTTGTCAACATTATTACATTACTCTAAACTAGTTTCCTTGTCTCTCAATTAACACACTTACCTTTACATCATCGTCAATGCAGCACTTTACTGTGTGAAAATGAACAGATTTTCATTTTGAAATAATAGGTTTTTTTGCTTGTCAGAATCATGCCAACATGAAATAAGATGTGATTTCTTTCAATTGTACATTTTAAAGGTGAAATGTGTACTTCCTGCACCATTAGAATCAACAAATATTTTAAACAGGTTCCCTGAACCCACCATTTTTCCCCACTATGTGTAAAGAAATTCACACATGCATTTTCTTTTTGCATGCATTTGTTTTTTATTTTTCATGGATGCATTCATTTTTGCATGCATGAATGAATTTGTAAATAGTATATCCTTTTGCATGTAAAAAAATAAAAATAAATATTAACGAGTGATTCACATTTAAAGTTACTGAACAAATATACCTTTCTCCTATTTATGCATATATACTTAAGCCTAAAATGAACCAATTCATGAATGCAATAATTTGTAAAAGTTTATTTGCATGTAAAAAGACTTTTTAATGAGTGATTCAACTTTAAAGTTATAAAACAAAAACACTTTCTCTGATACATGCATATAAACTTTAGCCTAAAATAAGCCAGCATAAACTTATTGATATAAATGCATTAATGTATGCATGCATGATTTTTTCAAGAAACAGATTTTTCATTTTGCATGTAAAAAGACTATTTAATGGGTGATTCACTTAAGTACTAGAACAAATACACTTTTTCTGATACATGCATGTAAACTTTAGTCCAAAATAGACTCACATAAACCATCCATCTATAAACATGCAGTGATGCATGCATTTTTAAAAATTAAAAATAAAAGTTCCTTTTTCACACGTAGAAAAGAAGAGTGATACATCTTTAAAAGAAGTACATATAAGCCGATACATGCATATAAACTTTAGCCTAAAATAAACTTGCATAAACATATTTATATCCATGCATTGATGTGCAGTATGCATGCATGAATGCATGAATTTGTAAAGAAAATTTATTTATTTTTACATGTAAAAATAGACTATTTAATGACTAATTTACCTTCAAATACAGTTGTAGAATGCACTTTCTCCTATACATGCATATAAACTTAAGACTAAAACAAATCAGCATCAACCACGCATGTATGTAAATGCATGATTGCATGCATTAATTTGTAAAGAAAGTTTTCTTTTTGAATGTGAGCTATAATTATAAAACAAATTTAAAACACTTTCTTACATGCATATCATGAACAGACAAACAGAACTTTTTAAAGAAATGTCTGCATGCAGTACCTCTATGAATCTCCAGGGGTCCAGAGACAGAGGGAACAGGATTGGCATATGACCCAGATCAGACCTGAACCCATGAGTCATCAGCTCTCCTGTGTCTTACAGGAACACGTCACCTACTGTGCCATGGCTCTGATGCTTTTATAACTCTCATGGTTCACACTAACCACAGATTCTTGTGGGGACCGACAAAGGCCCCCAAAGTTCAAAGGTCGCTCTTCCCATGCACCGTTCCCAAATCTCCTCCACAGAGACCTGCAACCGTCAATTTAATAAAACCCTCCAATATAACATTCTGCTTACTGTTGCAACCTGCTGAGATTGGACAGAAGCCTGCAGGAAAAAGCTTAATAAGACCTCACCAGCACACACTAGTGCCGTTTTTACACGGCTAATAATATAAGTGCCGTAGTCCCTGAGAGTAGAGAAACAGGCAGAGAAAGCCGACAAGCAGATATTAACCACCTTGCTTTATTACAAACAGCCTCCATTACTGCTAAAGATAGCCAATCCCTCGCTACCGCAGGGTCTCGAGTGTAGCAGAGGGGGGAAAGGACGCTGCCGTTAGCCGGTAATCTAGGATGAGAGGGAGCGCTCACGATATTGATCTTAGCTTGGCTTTTGCTGAGCAGAGTGGAAAAAAAACGAGAGTCAGAGAAGGTAGGAGGCACCTGAGCGATCCGATTGGCTCCCGGATCTATTATCTTATACCCCGGCTGACTCGGCTGTCCTGTGACAGCGGTCTGCCTTCTATTGTTATGTTAAGT